GGACTTGGAAAAATTTTTGTTCGCTGTTAACGTTTGGTCAGCATATCGACAACAGTGCCGGACTTTTCCCTTCCTCAACGAAACATGTAGAATTACAGGGAAATTACCGGGTGCTGCAGTTGGCTGGACCGGTCGTGGACCTGGTCTAAGTGGACGACGTACAGATGGACGTAGAGTGGGAGGTATATGAGAAACGGTTTGATTGACGACCTCTTCCACAACGACTGTAGCTGGTTGACGGTCTTGTGTGATAACCTGATCTGGTTGTGGTTGTTGATAACCTTCAGAGACATACTGGGTTGGTGATATAACTGTTGTTTGGCCTGGCTGGTAGCCTCCGGCAATATATTGGCCCGGTGATATAGCTGTTGTTTGGCCTGGTTGACAGTCTTCGGCAGTATATTGTCCTGACGATATAGCTGTTGTTTGAACTCCCTGATAGCCTCCAGCGATATATTGGGCTGGTGATACAGTTGGTATTTCAACTGGCTGATATTCTCCAGCGATATATTGGGCTGATGATACAGCTGATGTTTGACCTGGTTGATAGCCTCCAGCGATGTATTGGCCTGGTGATACAGCTGCTGCTTGACCTGGTTGATAGCCTCCAGCGATGTATTGGCCTGGTGATACTGTTGGTGTAACTTGATATCCTGTAGATGATGGTGGAACAATTCTGTATTGACCAGCACAAGGTTTTGCACAAACACCTACTGCCGGAACTGCGTAATGTACCTTAAAGCGATTGGATGTGATTACATACATCATAAGCACAGTATTGCGGTTCATTCAATCCGTCACACATACCCATCATTCTTTATGAATCGTGCATCCGACAATTGCTTGCTTACAAAATGCATTCGGTTTTTATTCAACGAATGCGTGACATCAAAAAATGTTCGTTTCTCATTTGTTAGCTGTAGCCTCTGAATACAGTGCGATTATTCACAGATGCAGCTGGAGATATCCTCAACCATCTCAATATTCATGAATTCATTCGAATTTTTCAAAAATGAGATCGTTAATCCGAATCACTAAATCGTTAATTGAATCGTTCAAGAGTCATGTAAATTTTCCAAATTAAACTGAACTTTGACAACATAATTCATCAAATTTTCCATCTTGAATACCAGCTACCAGAAACAGTTCTACGCATAACGAAGTAAACTGCACGGGATATGAAAAGATGGTCACATAGGGGTTTGAATGAATCTGAGCCGTTTCAGTCGGAATTGCTGCATGAGCCATCGAAAGAACTAACGAAGTAAGTGAAGTTGGATCATGAACGTTACCTGCTGTCCTGCAGCTGCCGCTGACTGGTATTGGTTTTGAAGCTGTTGGTGCACGTAATGCTGACGATAGCAACATAATTTTTGCATTTGTTCTTGATGTTGAGCCATAATGCGAGCATATTCGCTGCTGAAAGCTTTTGAAATTCAGCGTCTCATTCTGCTTGTTAACTCAAAATTGAATTAATCTAGTGGTACAGCTAACGGTAATAAGATTCACTTTACACAACTGCGAGCACCTTACTCATTTCTTATCGCATCATTCATTGACTGTGGATAATGTCGCCTTTTGCGCTTCAATTTACGAGACACTCAAAATAAGACGAATATGTAGTTATTTAATAACTTAATTGTTAACGGTCGGGATACATTCTCCCGTTCTAAATGGGCTGCTCAGAGCCGTAACACATCAGTTTTCAACATTTTCGAGTGTCCCGGAAGACACTAGTTTTCAACAACATGCTTGAAGGACATCCCACTCATAGGTTCTTCTAGAACAATCAGTAATTATTCTTCACACAAAACATTTGGAACGTGGCTCAGTCGGCAAAATGGCTCCGTCGAAACTTTCGACTGAGCCATTTTCTGGCTTCTTCGTTCACACTCGGAAGGTATACTTGTCAATTTCATTGTTTTGCTTCTCAAAATAAACAAAGACTCCCTTTATACAACTATGAGAAGCTTATTCTCATAGCTGAACTGCTCTGCTTCGAAATAATATTTTCGACCAACCGTAATGTTATTCTATCACGTCGATCGCGTGTGTCAGCTTATCAATGAGATTTTGTTAAATTGAAGTACAAATGCATTGATGAAAATGAAGGAAAACAGATTACGTTTGGAATGTGGGATGAGAGTAAGGAAGTGGTGGATATGGAACAGCAATCGAGACTGTTGCTGTTGGTTGAACGGCCGAAATCACAGATGCTCCTGGTACCCCAGACACTCCCGATATTCCCGAAACTCCTGATACTCCAGATACTCCAGACATTCCAGAAACCCCTGATACTCCAGACACTCCCGATATTCCCGAAACTCCTGATACTCCAGACACTCCCGACATTCCCGAAACCCCTGATACTCCAGACACTCCTGACATTCCCGAAACTCCTGATACTCCAGACACTCCCGACATTCCCGAAACTCCTGATACTCCAGACACTCCCGACATGCCCGAAACTCCTGATACTCCTGATACCCCAGCCACTCCCGATCCTGCCGAAACTACTGATCCTCCCAATCCACCCGCAGTCGTATAACATCTTCTGCGTTGAACAAGTCGACCATATTCACATGGTTGGGTACGTAATTGTATGCCTTAACGTAATTTAATCATTATTGAATTGCAGCGATTTTATTCCAACACCTGTTTACAGCACGAATCAAAATCTCGCACAATCAATTTTCTGGATCAAAATTCAAGTAACATCAGGGAGAGTCTTCAGAGATCAATGTAGTGATAATGATACACTCGAATCAATTAATATCATGAATGATTCAGATTGAAGTTTTAAAAATTTGACAAACATACGGTTTGTGGGTGAGCACACTGACCATCTTGTCCAAGGTCCAGTTCCTATAACCGGACGATCGAAGCCAACATCTGAACAGTTCGACATGCAGTATTGAAATATCAGCTTCAGTTGCATAATGATTAGAGAGTAGTTCATCAAAAACAGATGAATTCACTCAATTGTTACGTAACGCTGATGAAGCAGTAAGTTTCTGCACTTTTGCTCACCTCTCTTTTTCAAGGGTACGTTATCTGATGACATTACAAAATGCTCTTCAAGAGGTGGAACCGGGTCGAATTCATGGCAATTCAGCACTACTTCGAGTGCTCTTACCATATCCAGTGGTGATGACGGCTTTTCGGGAACCAGCGCTACCTGATATATTTCGGTCTATTAATGCTTTTAAGGAGCGAGGCTCATAAATCTCGAAGGATATTCATAGGGTACACAAAAATTTTTTAATCTTATCGTTTCTGACATGTTAACTTCTTTAAATCATGTAGCAATTTTCAGCGTTGAACATTTTGCATGTTACAAAATGAGTGTTCCTGATGTGGCGTAATTTATCGCAGTATGAAAAATGGTAAGCAAAGAGTCGTGAAGAATGAACTGACTTCTTCGTTAACGCTGTTCTTATCAAACAGATAGCAAATGTGCTTCTGGTTCTCGTCCCCACTATGCACGTAATAGAACATCACTGAACGAAATATCAAATCGATTATAAAATCAATGGAATCAAGTTAATATTCACGCATTCGTGCAAATAAGACTTCAGATAACTATGAACAAGGAAATTGGTTCATCATTCGGTTTGTAGCGAAATCTTCCTACGTGAGGGGATATCGAAACCGCGACGTTCTAAGCAGTTATTCGGAAAAACACGTCGATAACTTATCAGTATATTGATATGGCTTTAATATCACACGAATTTGTTTAGAATCATCCCAAATGTTTCAACAGCTGCATCCATCCGTTGGAGCATCAAAAGATTCATTTAATGCGCTTCCTAATCGTGAATAATGCTGCGAGTTTGCCTTTAATCACTCGTGGTAAGATGTGGAGATGAAAGTGACTTCAAATTCGATAATATCATGAAAATGGATTTTTTTCACGTTAACAGGCAAGCTCTCTGACTGCAACGGAAAAATTTGAATGGTTATTCGATAGTGACAGATTTTTTCAAAACAAAGAATGCGCAAGAAAGCAACCTCCAACGCATTTTGGGTATGTCTCAAGACAGCTTTTCCGACAGTCACTCGCTGAGTCAAGACGAATTCTCGAGAATGGCTCAATTCCCATAAACGCTGTATTATTGTGCGTTCGTACACACAGATCTTCTGCCTGAAAATGCAACATCTTCAGTATAATGGGATTGCTCGACTGCATAATACCAATATATAATTCAACTTTTTATCGGATGGATTCCAAATACTCATTCTTAACCAAGAACTTTGATATTAACTCTAATAATTCAGTGTTGGTCTTTTTAAAACTGGCAGGCACTCGTAGTCTCTTACCTTTTCGAGTTCACTCTTTGTATCATCCGTTTCTGTTGAATTTTCATTGGGATGTGGAAGTGGGCTCCGATGTTCTCCTGGAGCAACCCGACCTGAAAGTGAGAGAACTATTATGATTTCAGATTCAGCGAGCAAGGCGAAAAATGCTCATAGAAGCGAATTGCAAAATATTTCATCGTTATAAATTCGAATGACATTGAAGTACGATGTTAAATTCCACGCAGATATTGTGAAGAATGCGATCAAGTTGATCGCAAGTTCGGTGGAGGCAGTCTTCCTCTGCCTGAAATCTCATCTCCTGCCGTTTTGTAGGCCTAACTTTCCGGAATCCCCCACGTTTTCGTTCAATACTTATCAGCTGCACGCCTCGCAACCCGCATCTTCCGTTCATGGAGAGTTTGCAATGTTTTACGAATATATCACAAAGGCAAACTCTTGCTCAATCTCACGCCATCTAGCATTTACATGGCATTCGGTTGCATGCAACATCCTATCATGTAGATCAAGATTAGTACAATAAGATTGTTTGAGAGTTTTACTCATCATCCTTAGTTTGATTCAGAAAAAACTGTTGCAAAGTACTTCTACGTGACCTTCTGTAGCCACTAGTCTCCTGATTACAATCTTTGCAACAATTGATAATGCGAGTACAGAATTATCAGCACAGAGTAGAAGCAGTACTGCTTGTATTTGTTCATAAAACAACTTCACTTTAGCAGATCAGCGAATAGCGCTCTATTGTTTTTCGATGGCGTGCCAATCTCTCATCATTACAATAATCATCCAGCTCTGGTTAAATGCGAGAATTGGCTGAATCATATTCATAAAATGTAATGAAAAAGTGGTTCTCATGTTTTTGCCCTTCGTGCTCCCCTTTAGCCGTGCACACACCGTTAATCCGTCCCACTCCTGATAAACTATGTGACTCCAATTTTTTCCTGCGACAATCTATTCTTCCTTAGCGACGAAAATTAGGAAAATGAATTCATCGGCTGTGTTAGATGAATTCCTTATGATCAAGCAAGCATTCTGAAAACATTATTGGACGGATGTGAAAGAATTAAGAACAAGAATCAGTCAGCAAGGATTCACCAACCCCACAAATTCCCTTTCTAGCACCTTCAGATTCCTCTTCGAGGTAGACATTCCCCCATAAGAACCACTTGAGCAGGCAGAAGAGTATACTGACATAAATGATTCAAAAATAAATTAACTCACCAAAAGTGGCTACTGTAAACAATAATAGATGCAGCGCTGCACAAATTGTGAACTGCTGCATCCTGGCGTGGAAGGTTGATTTTGCAACAGTGTGAGGATTTTTACAAACTTGATGCTTTTAAACAGCCTACTATTCCTATGAAAATCACTGCTGAACTCCGCCTCTAACTGTAATTACGTTTTTGTTTAGTAGGGTTTAATTAGAATTAATCCCTGCAAATTACTATGCAGTGTTGAATAGCAGTTGAATTGAGCGCATAGAGTACGATTAATGATCTTTTTCGATTGAATACGCAATGCATTTGCGTTCATTTTTAATATTCTTCTCACAAAATCGACGACCGTTATCATTCGCAATGAAGAGCATTACTCGATATTCTCATTAATCAAATGATATTGCTGTTTTTGCATATGCAGAACAGCTTTGCGTAGGATGCGATATTATGGTATTTGTCATTTGTTTAAATTCTTATTTGAAACTTTC